TAGCTGTTTAAAGTTCTGCTAAACTTCCACTGCTCTGCTTTTATGGCTCTGCGAGAAAGCCAGCGATGTAAAAACAAAACAGAGACGAATTAGTTCTGTTGCTCATCCATCACCTACCGAGGCTTCGTTTGGGAGCGAGGGGGAAAGAGGCAGGGCTTCGCTTTTGGAGACGGGAAGCAAAACACTGCTGTGAGTCTGACTATTAGAGATAGAGTGTGTAGTGCTGCTCCCAGAGGGCGAAGTGGAAATGACTTTGTCTTTGACAGAGAAAGAGCTGTCGAAGTGCTTGAGGCTCCTTCCTTTTTCCTGAACCCACACCCACTCCCTCCACACACACACACACACACACACACACACACACTCTTCCTCTGTTCGCGTTCATCCATCTTCTGTGTCTGTTCGGCAAAGTTAATCTGCGGTATAATATTGCTACGGCATGATTGAAAGCAAATGACTTTGTCAGATTAAATACAGAACAATTAAAATTCAATTTGAAAATCTAGACTAGAAGAGAAAAAAAAGAAAGTTGAGTCTTCGAGGACATGATTGTTGCTCATTTCCGTCCTGCTGAAAGCTTCTGTGTAATTCAGAGAATCACTAGAATCGGTTCCTTGTTGCATCTAATAAAATGGATAAAGCGAGACTGTGTTTCCGTCTATATGACCTTCTCAGCTCCCCTCACTGTCCTCTGCAGGATTTCTCAGGGAAGCACTCTGTCTCTGCTGGACTTCTTCAGCCAGGTGAGCCAATCAGAGATCGAGACTCCAAGATGAATTTAACGCGATCCATTTTCTCTTCTTGACGGCCAATGAAGCTTTTTTTTTTAGCACCAAAATGGCTGTTTTTTCAAACATTTTGATGAACTCCCTGCACATTCGTCTGTCAATCCCATGAATCAGTCGTGCTGCCGTGGCATCCACTACAAATTTAACGACTGTGCCACGTCGTACTCAATCCTACCACAAAACCCACAAATGCATTTTGTGGCACCGCTTAACAAACTGGCTGTTCAGAGTTAAAATACATAAAAGTGTCACTTTTACTTTTCGTTTTGGGTTTCTGGTAGTTTAAAAACACAGTAATAAAATGCAGAGACCATAAACTTTGTCTCAAGCCTCTTTTTCTTTATTTACGGTCAAATTTATCTCGTCACCAGACAGACTGCACCGCATTTTCCTTCACCGTGCTGCATTTGAACACGTGTAAAACAGTTTGTAACGATCACAAAGTACCAAATTCTGACTCCGAAAGAGCCAATTTGTGTCTGCAGAACTGAGATATTAATATAACTCAACATGCAAGTTTTAATATTCGGCCAAAAGCACGTTACATGCTAGTTGGCTGAAAAAGAAAAAACAAACAAACAAAAAAAAAAAACGATCTTGTAATTTCAAATCCGAAGGCTTCCGCTGGCTCTGATCCATCCTCCTGAATCTGAACAGCTTATCGTCAAGAGCAGATGTAAGGTCTTTTCCATAAAAATGTCCAAACACATTAATAGCACAACAGCCTACAAATGACCGCTGTCTTTAAAATAGTAAATGTCAAAGTGCTGCGATTTTATCACACCGATAAAAGTCCAATACGGGGTGCTTACCTGAGGTCCCATAACTCTAAATGTCAGTGTCTCCCTGACCTTACCTCCACTTGCATTCTTTTTATGAAACCGCTATAAAATACATTCATAATGACTTCTCTTCGACGAAGGTTTGACACGAGCCTGGCTGTTTGGCCGGTTCTAAAAATAAGACCAGATGTGTTTGTCTTCTCACTCTGCCGCACAAGATATAGACATCCACACAAGCACAGATGGGGAAAACAAATGCTTCCTGAGCTGAAATCTATGCATTGGAAACAGTTCTTTCCCAATGGAAACAGTCTGGAGTGTTTTTAGTAATAGTTTGCAATTAATGTTGTAATCTTGAATCCCTTTTCGACAGCTACAAACACTGTTGATCTGTGTACATTTTACTAGAAGTAGAGCGGTGACAATCCTGTTTCCCTGTTGGAACTGCAGGGAGTGTCTAAGTGTTGGAACAACTGTTCTGAAATGAGAAAACGGTGAGGTTCAGTTCAAAGGCGGATTACAGTTTGGACACATAACACGTAATGTTTCTAGGACGCCCAGTGACGAGAGAATTCAAGATGTTTACAGTCGCATAAAAATTATGAGGCTGTATTATGTAATGTTTCTCCATTATGCCATTTCCAACCACTATAGGGAGGGTTGGACTGAGAAGCAGTTCCGGCGACGAGCTTGGCAAACTCATGGTTCCACCAGGTTAATTGTTGTTAATTGTTGCTGCCACTAGTCTGGAGGAGCTGTCCCTATCCCTGACCTAAATGGTCTTGAACATTTACCCCCTAATACGCATGTGTCAAAGTGAATGCCGGGGGCCCAAATCTGGCCCTCTGTAGCTTTTTATGTGGCCCTCTAGACTCCAAATTACATCAATGAGTCCTTCCAGTTTTTCACAAATCTGCAAAATTCACACAAAATCAACAGATCTCCATATTTTTTCAGATTTTACTGTAAATTTTCTCAAAATTGGTCAAAGACATTGAGTTTAAGTGGCTGCTGCCTTTTTCAGCAAGTTATATTCCATAATTGATACGGCGACATCACAAAAATTCCTAACAAATATTTCTAAATTGGCACCACAAAATCTGTCATTTTGATTGCAAAAAAAAATCCACTAAAACAATCACAAAATCCTGGAGGAAAAACTATTTATTGATATTTCAGCAGTTTAATTGGTTTATTAATACATTCTGGCACAACCGGCCCTTTAAGAACATTCAGATTTTTGATATGGCATCAAAATGAAAATGAGTTTGACACCTCTGCCCTAATAGGTAAATGAAACCAACTTTTAATTTACATTAAGATTAAAAATATGTAAATTAAGTCATTTGTGCAGAATGCAAAAAAAACAAAAAAACAAAAACAAAATAGACATCTTACTTTTGTGGATTATATAATCCAACACCCGAAAAATCATCCTAATTATCCCGTAAGACAAGTTAATTAATGACCTGACAAGACTATGATGTAGGCAGTGAGATGGTCTGGGGATGCTCTGGTTCTTCTGGACCTGGATGATTGAAAGTCACTGATGGAACCATGATTTGTTTTATCTGATGGGGGGAGAACGTTCCCCCATCAGTTTACGACATTAAGACCTCTAGGGGCGAGACAATAATCTGAACCTCACCAACTAACCCTACACTCTGATGAAGGTATTTGGAGTGGCCTAGTCAAAGACCTGGCTTACATCTCATTGTGCAGAGTAGAAGTGGGCCCACTTTCCCTCACAGGCATGTAAACAACTCATTGTTAGTTTTCTGAATCGATGGCCGGCGGTCGTTGCTGCCTTACATAAAGTCTTGGACGACTTATTTCCCTTAAAATCAGATTAGATAGCTTTTTTTTTAACCTTAATTTGAAATGGACTTTTAGTATTGTCTCAGCTTAAATTTATGGAACGATCTGAATAATTTCCTTCCGACAGAAAAGGAGCAAATACTTTTTTTCTGCAGCCGAGCCTTGCAGCAACACTGTGGGAGCTTCGCTCTCCTCACCTACTCTGTTTCACACCACGGAGTCTCTCTCTGCGAAGCGACGACACGCCGAGCCTCCCCCCGGCTGCTGGAGAGGCTGGCGGTCGCCATAGCAACCCCCAGTGGTTCGTCTTGCTCGGCAACGGACGGGGGTTGGGGTGTTATCATGTAGGAAGGTGAGATAAGGGGAGTTTAACTCTTCGTTTAAGAGATGAAAAGAGCTGCTGGTTGTGGTTCCTCTGTGTTTTGCTGGGTTTTTTATTTTAGCTTCAAGTAGTAGATTGCAATTAGGGTTCAAAATGTGTCCACTTTTGTTTTGCTTGTTTTGTTTTCTTTAGTATTGATCAAACTTATATTCAGATCTAGAACAAAATGTTTACAGTTTTCTACAGCATATTCTGTTCAAACTGGTCTTCCTGAGCCAATTGGCTCCTAGTCTCTCCGTAGTTGGGTTGTCAGTGGGGAATTTGAATTTTCACCACTTCATTGCGGCTGTATGACTACCACCAAAGCTGACCCTCTGCATGATGCTTCCAACACCGTGCCGACAGTCGGTACTGTAGTTTTAAATTTAAAAGCCAATTTTTGTCTTCTGTCATTGTGGCCAAATAGCTCAATCATTGTCATGTATAATTATATATGTTTTTTTAAATCTCTCGAGAAAGCATTTGGCTTTTCCAAATATTTTCTGCACATTTTCTTAGAGCTTGATGATGTGCATTTTAGAGTATTTTTTTGTTATCTGTATCTTCCAAGTTATTCTAGAACTCTAATGTAGAAAGTACCAGTCTGTCGATTGCGAAAAATTTCTAAGAATTTAGATTTATAGTGCCAAGGATGATTTCCATTTAATGTTTGAAAAAACCCAAATATTGGGCCATGGTAGTTATTTTTACCATTTTCTTCACTGTTGGTTCCATGAGAACATCAATAAATATAAATGTAAAAATATGATTAAAGCCCAGTTGCTGAGACATGAAAAGTTCCCCAAAAAGATTACAAAGAAGGTGTAAATGGTTTTATGTCGGTACTTCTATCGTTATCATAAAATATCAAGAGTCATATCGTCTACTTTTTTTTGGTAGTTTAGTGTAATCTCAGCATCAAAAGCCAAAAGCTTTCTCCTGAAATCCTTGCTGTCTTTAGTTTGCTGAGCATGACTTCAATGATATTCAAAACAAAACTAACAAAAGAAGAAAAAAAACTGTGTTGCAGTAAACATTTTCAATTTACGATCTTATAAAAAAACAAACAAACAAAAAATAATAAGTGTTCATCTTAATCAGTTCCACTTGCCGGACGATCAAAATTTTACCATTTTATATCTTCAGTCAAAAACCGCATATAATTATTTTTTATTATTTGTTCTAGTCAAATTGATTCTAATGTTCTAATTAATTACAAATCAAAGAAAAAAAAAACAACAACAAATACTTGACCAATTTGTAATAACATTAGCTTTTATTAAAAATGTCATTTTTATGGACAAATACAAATATTACTCTATTTACAATTGCCAACTACTATACTAAAAACAAAAGCCCTGGAAAGCTCTATTCACAGCTAAGCTAACAGTGGTGACAATAAGGGAATCTCATTCATTAGTCAAAAAAAAAAACCAACAAAAAACCTAAGAAACAGAACTTAAAAGCGGACCGGTTGCTATTGGTAACCGGTCTCATCGACAGCCACACTCATCCACCACCATGTCCTGGTAGTGTCGGAGCACCACGTTATCATTGTTGTCGTAGTAGAGCATGGAGATCGGGGAGAGGCGGATGGGGGCGCAGCCGGGCTGAGGCGTGCCCTGCGGGTCCAGGGAGTGGACCAGCGTCTGCAGGATGGCGTGGTTGGTGCCGTTCAGGCTCTCGCTCAGCGGGAACGGACACTCGCCGTGGCAGTAGTTGGCCATGTAGCCCGGCGGGGCGATGATCCAGTCCTGCCAGCCCACGTCCTTGAAGTCGATGTAGAGGCGACGGGCCTTGCAGATGTTACTGGGCGTCACGGGGAGGTGAACGGCGCTCCTCCTTTGCCGGGAGTGACACTGGTGAGGGTTCAGGGACACGACCACCAGAGAGGCCTCAATCAGAGGGAGGGTCCAGGCTTCCTCCAATGGGAAGGCGTTGCCCGGCAGAAAAGGCGTGAGCTCATCCGGATCCACACCAAGAGGCGGACTCAGCTCCACGACCAGGCCGTAGTTGTGGCCCGGTTTGCGCCAGCTGTCCGCCAGCGGCGTCAGGTCCATGGCGATGGCGGCGGGCTCCAGCTGCGGCCGAATCGACCGCGACAGCAGGAGCCTGCGATTGGCCTGGGGATCGGCTCCCCGCAGCGTGGCTCGGATCACTTTGGAGAGCGACATGCTGACGGCTCGGGGACCCCGCAGGAACCCAGCGGGCCTCAGAGGCTTCCAGTGGAGCCTGATCTCCAGCTGAGCCAGAGACAGCAGCTCCACAGGCTGCAGGACAGACACGTTGAAGAAAAGCTGCTTCACCAGACAGGCCTGACAGCTGCTGCTCCAACCCGACACCAGCCTGCCTGCAAGACACCAGCAGGGAGAGCTGTGCTTTAACAAGGTCTTGTTGGGGGGGAGGGGTGACGGAGGGGTGTGGGTGCTTGAAAGACACCAAGCGCACAACGACATAAATAACGGTGGAGATGAAATTTCACGGCCCTTTATTTCTCGGTGGAACACACAGAGCGCCTGGACTCTTTGTGATTTTTAGCAGCAGCAGCATCGCTGGGTTTTGCTGAAGCAGCGGCCCAGGGTGATTTACAGACCCCAGAAGAAAAGCCTTTACCTGAGCCGCTTCCTAAATTAATCGGATGCGTTTTTGGTTTACCCGGCCTCGTTGCTGAACAACGCTGTGATCAATAAATAACACTGCATCTAGTCTTATGGGGTGCGTATGCAAATCCTGGTCGTTACTCTTTCCTCCGAGGCTGATCTCCTATGAACAAAGACGCACCAAACTTACCAGACAAGTAAGGGGTTTGCTATCATTTTAGTGTAGCAGCACATTTTAAAGTTGAGAATGCAGTAACTTGATTTACAAAAAAAAAAAAAAAACATTTCTTCTATATGCTAAGCTGAAGAATGTCACTTAAAGTCCTTTGGAAAAATATTTAAAAAATGGGCTCTTTGGTTTATTTATATTACAGTCTCAAGTCTTAATATATTAATTAAAGTTTTATGTAATGAGTCGCAGTACATTGTTGCAAAGGATAGGGGAATTACTCAATGTTTTCACAATTTAAGGAAAAATATCAAAAGCAGCAATGTGTTGACTGACGTGCGCAGCAGCAGTTTCAGGTTTTGCCACATTAGTTAAAGGAGAAAATGAGCTCAAGAGGAAAGTGGGTGGTGGGGGGGAACAGGAAAGGTCACATCACCAGTTTGGTAGCATTTCAATTATTGAAAACAAACTAATAAAACTAAAAAATTATATTGATATTGACTGATATGAAACCCAGTTAAATCTTTGCAGAAGAATGGGCTAACACTTCCACTTCACGAGTAAGCACTACTTGGTGTTAATCTTTTACCAAAAAAAAGAAAGAAACACATGAATGTTTTTAAAATGGTTAAACAGTGAAAGCGTTAGGTCTTACAGCTAGGCTAACTAAATTGAATAAAGCTTTAACTTTATTTTAAAACACGTCTCGCGTCAACCAAGGGGAACATTTAGTTTTAAACTCAATAACACCAAAGTCTCACCTTGGTCCTGAACGTAGCGGATGATGTTGCCGCGGACTCCGTACTCGGACACCGTGCAGGGGTCGCTATCGCGGGCCTGAATGCTCTCTGACCTCCGGAGCATCCTCCACAGCTCGGAGGGGACGGGGCGGCGGTGGCTCCCTGCGGGCTGCGGCCGCTCAGAAAGACCGAGGGAGCTGAGGAAAAGCCGCTCTCGGGTGTTTCTGTCCTCCGCGTCCGAGAAGGCCTGCAGACCGAGAAGCCACACAGCTAACACCAGCAGAGCAGCCATGTTTGGTCCAGGGGACTGAAGTGGAGCTCTGTGGTTCTTCACCTGTAGCGCTGGGAGCCTCCCGCTGTGCAGCTGGGTCATTATGTTAATGAGGAGCGGGCGGAAGGGCCACAGATAAGGTGGGGGGTGGACTGAAATAACATGAAGGTTCTAGTACTGTCTGCAAAATTCCTTTCAGAAGCTATTTATTCAGAAAGTATTCCACGTTTATTTACACAACAGAAAAGTATTAAATGCAATAAGTAAAATATGTCAAACATAAAAACAGCTAGGTTTTTCTTTTATAGTGAAAGACAGCACTGATTCAGATTCAATTTTGGTTTTCTTCCATTTGATTAAATTTAATTTGATCCCGTCTTTTTCTCCCATGAGCTAGTCAAAACTTTGTTTTTATGCACTGTGTGTTAAAGATAAACGCTTAAAGCATATTCAGCAGATAAGCTGGACATCAGTTAGCATAAGACTCTCCAGGTTACTGTGAAGTTCCAGGCTGTAGTTGGCCCCAAAATGAAATCCTGGTTTAGGACTCCTTCTACCTTCAGCTGGCTTGTTTGGGTTGGATTTAGACAAAAATGGGACCAGCAAGAAGTTTTGCTCAGACTTTGGACCGGCCTGACACCAAACTTCATTCTGCTCCCGTAGTGAGTTTATTGCACCACCTGGTGGGCAGTGGAGGTACTACACTAAACATCCCCAAAGAAAATAAATAAAATATGTTGTTTTACTCTTATGACAGTTTATATTATTGGCATGTGCTGCTTTAGTTAGCAGCAGTGCAAAATTTGTATTTTTTTTTTTGTTTACACATTTAATCCAAAATATGTTCCCAGTCCTTGTAGGAATTGTTTGCTTAGTTTAATTGTTATTCATCGTGCTCATTTTGTGTTCTCTTTTTGAAACAGACGCTATGTTCAAAACTGGATTAATAATTATGGATTATTGATTATTCTTGAAATCATTCAATGCAGAAAAAATGTAACGTTTCTTCTTTCCTTTTTTCAGAATCACTGATTGCGGTTTCGTGTCTTTGAAACTTTCCTCAAAGCAACACTGATGCATCAGCACTTCAGTTTTTTCCAGCTGAATGTTCCATTTTTCAAGCTATTTTGTCTAAACTTGCTATAAATAACCCTAACCCAGCTAAACGGGATCAGTTGACCCCTGAAGCCACAGGATTTGTGCTCTCAAATGTTTTAAATTTTTATTGAAAGCAAAAGGATTAATTAGTATATAGTTTTGGGCTTCATTAGCATGAATTAGCCCATAGCATGTAGCTGTTCAGAAGGCTCGTGTTGTTTCAGGAGAGGTCTGGTGTCTCTAATCTTCCCCAGATTCTCCACTGGGTCATTTGGGTCAGAGCGGTTTGCTGACCAGTCCAGAACTGTAACTCTACGGTCATCAAAGCAGCTAGCGGTTCTTTTGGAAGTGGGTTGGTGCCAAGTGCTGCTGGACAATGAAATCGGCATCTATATGAAGCTCTTCATCACAGGGAACCATGAAGTGCTCTGAGGTTTTCTGGTAGACAGCTGCTCTGGACCCAGATGACCCGGCAACTCCTGAACTTGTCACCTGAAGGGAAAATTTCACATTGGATTTAAAGCAACGTGGGATTCTGTAACCTCTCTGCTTTGGTATCTTAAGTTTCCAGATGAGTAGCAAAGTTTGCTTTTATTGAAAAGAGGACGTTGGAGCATTGAGAAACAGTCTGGTTCTTCTTCCACACCAAAGTGGGAAGTTTTGTCAGGTTGTTTCTATATACCATATCTACCTCTGTTTTTCCGTCCACTCAACTTTCCTGCAGTACATCACTCTGTACATCCGGCAATGACCTTTTGTGACTTACCCTTCATGTAGAGGTTGATTGAGGTCCGATGGACGACTCGCATCTGAACTGCATAATTCCGATAGTTGTAATGTTTCAATTTAGTCTATATAATATTCTAATTTGACACGATATTTAAGCCATAAATTAACAGAAAAACACTAGAAATCAGAGTTAAATCCTTATAGTCGTTCAGTTTTGCTTTTTAATTTCAATTAATAAAATACCTTACCTCTGCGTCTACTCTTTTGTCTAGTGATTTTTGATCACAGTAAAACACTGTTCTGCTTTTTTTTATGCTTCTAATGATTTAAACTTGATTCAGTGAGTAACTGTTTGGCTGATCTACAACAAAATTTAAATTTAACTTTCACATTTTCCTAAATGTGTAAATGTAATTTTCTAAAAACGTTTCAACTCCGATACATCCAACCAACCAAAACCGATTGTTTTTTTGTTGTTTTTAGTACAGTTGGCATCAAAGATTCTCTTTAATTTCAATCATTATGTACAGATCAGTATGTACAGAGGTCAGAATACAGCAGAGGGTCGAGGGGCGGGGCGGAGGTCGCTGACATTCATTCTTTAGAAAAAAAAAAATTAGAAAACAAATGGTAGAGTTCCTCATTTCTCTCATTCGATCATGGCGGATCAGCAGCATGTGTGCATAGGACAGGTTCAGGGACACGTGTGTGTGTGTGTGTGTGTGTGTGTGTGCGCGCGCACACAGCAAATAAATATGCACATGTAGACCGTCTGTACCGCCCGCTGGCTGATCCCGCTGTAGAAGTCTGATCACACACACACTCATACAGAGCCACAGCAAAGCAGGAGAAAACACACACCGCCTCATCAGTCTAAGCTTCTTATTTTCTCACAGGGTTTAAATGTGACTTGAGTTGATTTTTAGCTTAATTTAGTAGAAAAAAGAATGTCACCGAATTCTCAGGGGTATTAAAAGACTAACTTTTGAACACTACAAATTGAACTTCAAATATTTGTTTTATTGTTAACAGTCAAAATTGAGCTTTTTTTCCCCCCCTCATTTATTTTAACTAGTTAAATGAGAATGACTTATTTTAATGGAACATCAGCTAGAGATATAGCAGTATTTACTCAAAATGGACCTAAATTTAACTGCATAACTTCCACAACGTTTTTTTTTCTTAATATTCAGTATGAGGCACCGTCTCTTTACTGCTATTACTCATAATGATCGCTCGGGGGCGCAATCCTAATATTATTCTCTCGCTTTAAGGTACGTGATGGAGCAGAAGAGTTGGTGAGGATGAGAAAAGAAATATTTTAACTTAATTGTAGCGATGAAGGCAAATATCTCAAACACACATAAAGCCAAAAAGAGGTCCAGGACGTCACTTTTAGCAGGCCACGCCCACTCGGCGTGACGGTACTTCAGTAGCAGATCATGGCGTACAAACATCGAGAGCTTTGGTGCGACATGAGACAATCAGGAGTGTTTTCCTTCAGTTCAAAATAGCACGACAGGCGCAGATTTGATTCTCCAGTTCATATATATATTTATATATTTATATCTATAAATCCATTCAATGAGATATGTACAAAGTATGGCAAAGGAGCACGATTTCATTTCAACTCGTCGTCGGGTGCCGTTGGCTCTTCACTGTGCAGTCCGTCATGTTTCCAGTGAAGTGAACGTTTCATGCGTAGACGGAAAGAGGGTTGGGGGAGAGGGTCCGTGTCGGCGGCGTTGGACGCGGAACCCGGCCCGGACCAGCTCCGGAGGCTCAGAGGAGTTCGTCCAGAGATGACAGGGAGGAGTCTTCACCCCCAGGGTCATGTGGCGTTGACCTCCATGATGTGGTCGTCGGCGGTGGGCAGCACCAGGACCTGCTGCGAGTGGCTGTTGTTGAACACCTGTCCCGGGCTGAAGGGCTCCAGGCGCGGCATGGCCACGCCCCGCTGCTGCTGGTCGCTGCTGCCCACCGAGTGGACGCTGCCGCGGCTGCGGATGCTCGCCGTGTCCCCCTGGTCGTCCAGCGCCTTGTCCAGCAGGGACAGGCTGTCGTTCTCCACGCAGCTGTCTGCGGGACAGGAGAGGGGGACATTAAAAACGGGTCAGCACGGGTCAGAGGATGAGCAACATCCTTCCTGTTGAATCAGTCAGAAAAAAACCCAAACTATTACAACTAGAGCTGGACGATAACAGATCTGAGGGTCGAGGGGCGGGGTTTTAAATGATAGAAGAAGTATTTCCTTAACTGTAAAGGAAAAATATAACTCCACAAGACTCTCACCAATCATCTGCTTAATTTTTTATTTTGCAGAAAAATAAACCAAATAAAGTAGTAAAATTACTACTTTAAGTTCTGTAAAGTCTAATATTACAACTTTACTCTGGTAATATTATGATTTTTATTCTTGTAATAAAAAAACAAAAATCTTGGCCATAATACTTTATCGTAGAAATGACCTGAATTCATAGAGGCTTTACTAATTTAAAGCTAATTTAAAACAGAAGCTTTAAGACAAGATGACAGGTTTTAAATGTGCCGATATCACTCTGAACTACACAAAGGCAAGGAGTGCATTGGCTAGGGGAAAAGAAAAAAGAAAAAATCCAGATTTTCTAAAAATTAAGTCTTGAAAACCTTAAAAATTTGATTAATCGATAAAATAGATCAGATCGGTCCGGCGTTACAGAGGCTTTAATTCCTGTGGGGTCTCACCGGGGTCCGGCTGGATGGCCGCTGCAGCGTTGTGAGGGAGGTACTTGAGGACTTTGATTTTGGGGAAGGGCAGGTGACCTGCGAACAGGGGCATGACCTCGATCTGCACCTTGTGGGTGGCGTTGACCCTGAGAGGCATCAGCACCATCCCTGAACTCTTCCCACACACGGCCCAGTTGCTGCTGCTGTCGGCCACTGCAGACACAAACACACGGCAGTCAGCCTTCATTCAGCCCCTGCTCTTTTCAGCGACGTTTACAGCATCTTAAATGTTCCCCTCTACTTCAATATTATTATTTATGGATGTATAATTTGAGATTTATTTAATCAGATCATCTGTACCATAAAATGATCAATTCTCAGAATCTAGTTGCTTGCAGACATTTTTAGTGAGACGTTTTTTACGCGTCGTCGTCCCCTGTAGGGCTGCAACTAATGATTATTTTAGCAATCGATTATTCAAATGATCAATCAGATAGAAAAATTTAAAATCTATGGATCATTTTCAACGTCTTCAACCTCAAATTGTTTTGATACAATATTAGGTATTAGAAATACATCACAAG